TAAGCGACTTAGATTTTCAAGTTCAATTCAGATCCGTTTGATACCACTAGGTGACTTGTTCCATAATATGGGTTTTAACATATACTCTCTCCATCCCAGAGTATTTGTCTACTTTCATTTTTACACACCATCCAATGTACTTCTTTAATCCATATTATCTTGTAATTTGTATATTAAAATATTATAGAAATTATATATTAATAATCTATATGTTAAGACAAATCAAACAAGATCACACATGACTATATTTTGGCTTACACATTGAGAGAATTTAATGAGTCAAAGTGCTTAGATGAAAATAGTCAACTTTACAAATAATTCATATTCCGGAGTCAATAAATAATACTCCCTCCGTCCAAAATTAAACTTTCCGGTTTGACCGGGCACGCATATTAAGAAAAAGTGTAAATGTAGTTGACTTTCCCAAAATGCCCTCCACCCCCTCACTTCTTTGGTCCCCCACTCTTCCCTACTTGCTAGAAAATACGCACAAGCAACCGGATAGTATCAGAAGGCTGCCTTGATGCTCCACCGATACCTCTCGTCGTCTCATCGCTGCTCTACGGTGTGACCTTCGCCGGCAGCTTTGCTGCTCCACCGTCACCTCCGCCAACTTCTTCAATTTCAAAAAGAAGAAGGAAGAAACTTGGGGTCCCCAACTTCTAATCCAATATCTTTGTCTAAGATCTATATATTGGAGTCATCAGATCTGTAAAAATATGATACCTCTTTATCAGATCTATGTATAATGATGACGTTGCAGGGTGGAGGAAGAAGAAAAGAAAGAAAGCGAGAAAAAGAAGAAGAAGAAGAAAAAGAAGAAGAAGAAGAGGAAGAAGCAGATGGGGTGGACGGGAGAGAAAAGAAAAGAGAGAAAAAGAATTGGAAAAGAGGAGGAAGAGTGGGGAAAGAAGAAAGAAGAAGAAAAGGGGAAAAAACAGAAATCCAAAACAGAATCGAGGAAGAAGAAAAGAAAGAGAAGAAATGAAGAAGAAGAGTGGGGGTGGTTGCTGCCCTGGACCAGGAGAAAGAACGGAGAAAGAAGAAAAGAATAAGGAGTAGGGAGGGTATTAAAGACTTTTTACCATAAAAAAGTTTCCAAAAAAGGAAATGGGAAGTTTATTTGTGGACGGATAAAAAAGGAAAGTGGGAAGTTTAATTATGGACGGAGGGAGTATATTTATTTTTATTAAAATAACGGCTAACTACTAAGCCGGTTTTCAAGGCATTACATTGATTTTGTCGATCAATTGGACGAACATAGACACGAGGTGAAGTTCGAAAATGGGTAGTGAAAGGTCTTAAAGCGAAATCTTGTTATGGCTCACGAAAAGAAGAAAGGTTCACTGTATATGGTCGAGTTATTGTTTAAGGGAGTGACTGTCCTCGTTTAGAAGATAAACAAAGTCTAGTGTACAAAATCTAGTGGGCAGACAAAGGTTGTGTTTGCAAGAGAGAAACCAAGCCGCAAGTCAGACTCAGGATGAATGAGCGAGGAAAGGTTCAGGGAGACCAGGGGAGCTTATGGCAGGTGAAGCATAGGTCGTGTTTCAGCCAGAGTTCCTTGACGACAGTGTGTCAAGAGAACCAGTATTCTAGCTGTTGAAACGCCTCTAGAATATTTGTTGCTCAACATGGAGAGTGTTTGTTCTCATGATGTTCCAAGACCCGACAGTACGTGTTTGTAGTGAAAGATGGTAGGGACCGAAGATGAGTTAGAGGTAGATTTAGCCGTGACCGGTGTGTTGGAGCTCCAAGGCGCTTCAACGGGCCTATTAGTTATCTGGTGAGAGGGCCAATGCAACAGGAGAGCTGAGGAAGATTACTAGATGTACGAGCATTCTTGGTAGATGGTAGTTCATGGTTATCAAGCCTCCAAGTTCGAGATTGTTGGGCTTGTGGAGGCTATATTTGTTCAGGTCTGACTAGGGTTGGCTCGTCTTATTTTTTTGTCCAACTTTGTTTCTTAGAGAACAAATTTCATAGCCCTAGGTTTCTCTCTATATATACAAATCTTGTACTTGTAATCCTTGGCACCACAAGTGAAATACAATTTCTCCCGTTGCAGCCATGAATTTGGGAAACCGAACCACATTAAACTCTTATGTATCATTTGTGTTCCATTTCTCTCTCGATCCTCGTAAATTATTTTATGTGTGTTGTGTTTAATCCCCAACAAGTACATAGGCAACTTAGAAGATTTTGTGTTCTAAGTGTAGAGTTGATTTTAAATTTTACTACCAATTTAAAATTTCTTATATTTGAGTATATGAATGGCTCCTATTCGACATCACGACATGTGATGGTGAAAGAGAAGATCAAGTAGTGCAAAATCTAAACGCGACTTTGTTGAACAATTACATTATTACTAATGACTGGATGATAACATGACACACACATGTTGATTTGATATGATTTTTTTCATTATATTGTTGACAAAATTAGTTTCATCCCTAGTTATGTGAATGGATAATCAAAATCAAGATGAATAAATCTCTTTAAAAAAACTGTTTAGGTATGATTATGTTGAATATTACATCCACTTACAAGTTACAACATTGTTATTACGTGATGGGTAAACAACATATTCATAATTCTTCATACCTTTGGTCCTAATTGAGTGTTCAACGTGTGTCATTAACCCTTAATTTGGGGAGTACCTTTATCATACATCTAGATGTATGATATTTCTCGTACATCTACATAAATACTCATTTTTGAGTAACTGAATAATCGTTTTCAAGTAACAGAATACTTATTTTCGAGTAATTAAATATTCATTTTCGAGCATAATTGATGTTTAAAAATGAGTATTTAATTACTCAAAAACGAGTATCCAGTTGTTCGAAAATGAATATTCAATTACACGTGAATGAGTACTTACCGTGTATGTACGGGAAACACCGTACAATCAGTTGTATGGTATATATTGCATTGTTTGGGAGAGGGAAAATAAGAATGGAAAGAAAATAAAGGATGAAAAGTAAAGGAGCGAGTGCATATAATGTGTTTGGAAAGGGGGAAGAAAATAATCATTTATTTTCTGTCATTACTTTTCCTTCTAAAATAGGAGAAAAGTTTAAATAGTTAAATTATTCGACATTCATCCCATTAATTAAAAAGTAAAATAGAGTGATTTTTCTTCCTAAAAAGCCAGGAAAAAAAACTAAAGTAGAGTAAACATTGAAAATATATCAAAATAAGACTCCCATGTTTTTATTCGTGAAATAGGAGTTAAAATGCATTTACATTACCAAACGTGATCATGTACATTACCAAAAAGTATAGTAATGTGCACGTGTACAGTGCCACATTACCATCGGTTGTTTTAAATAAAAAGGGTATTAGCATCGGTTGTTTTAAATAACCGATGACATTGATCTATTGCATCGGTTATTGCAAAATAACCGATGCTAATACCTATTTTTATTTTCCAAATTTTATTTAATAACGATCAATTGCATTCCTTTTAAAAAACAATTGATGCCTTTGATCTTTTGCATCAGTTATTTATATAAGCGATGCAATTGAGATAGTCTTTTTGCCTTTTTTTTGTAATAGTGTACATTGATTAAATAATCAAACCATTTTTTCCATACTGACGTTCAAATTTGAACCATTTTTGATTCAAAAGTCGTTATGAACAATTACCAACGTAGTTAGACAAAAAATTCAAAATCTCCTTTGCACTTTTTTTTCAATGGCAATTTTTTTATTATAATTTTTTACTTTATTTTTTCTATGAAGGTTCAATCGATCCTTTAAAAGTTTACCAATCCAGCATAAAAGTGATTGGTTAGACAATTTTTTTTTGTCGCATACACGCTTGATCAGCACATGACACAATATTACATTATCGAATATACTTGTCATGAATTGTGAATTTATGACCTATTTTTGTGATTCACTTTCTAAATTCATTACACATTTTTTTTTCATGACCATTTTTTTTAAATTTTTGAATTATTTAAATCTTTTCTTGCTTATGTTTTTTTACACATAATTTTTTTTTCCACAAAAAACCACATGTTAATTAACAAACACATCAACTAATAAGAAATTGCAAAGAAAATAAACATTAAAACTCATCCATGAAGGTTACTGGTTTCGAATTTGGATTCCACCAGTTAGACAAACAATTGAGAGAAGAGTGATGATTTGGGTTTTAGGTTCAAGCTTCAAACTCAGCGACGGACTTGAGAAAGGAGTGCTAGGAGAGGGAGGAAGCTTAATTGAGGAGAGAAAGGAGTGTGAATTTATTATTTTATCCACGTTCTTAACGGAAATGTTAACAAAGGACCATTCGTGAAAATGAATATAATAATTGGGGACTAAATTAGTAATATTTGATATGTAGGGACTAAATATGTAAAATGGCCTATAACTGGGGACATTTTATAGAATTTACTCATTATTTTATCAAATGAGCAACGAAAATACGTCAAAAGAGTGAATAAAGTTCAACCATGTAAATAGTAAAATATGAACAATAAGACGAGGGAGTATCTTATATTGGTATTATGTAAATGTGCGGTTATTCAGACTATTCGGTACTCATAGGGAACCAACTATTTTTTACATGCCTAATCGAAGCGGAAACCAAAACCAAATTTTCAAGTAATTCATTTTGTGTTCATTTGTGTTTAGAAATTAAATAATGTTCACTTGGGAGTAAAGTCTATGAGGGGAAAATCTAATCATAATACTTTTGAAACACTTTTGTGTTTAGAAATTAATTAACGAATACTTTCAAAAAAAAGAAATTAATTAATGAATAGGTAGTATGGGTAGAAAAGGCTACAGTCAATGACCAGTCAACATCCAAAAGGGTTCCACGTCATCCTCCTTAGAAAGCAAAAAAAAAAAAAAGAACAGAAAAGAAAAAGCAAAACATTTTCAGCGGAAAAGGACGCCAAGGGCAAGTTGGGCAATTTATTTATTACGGGTGCAGCCTACCCCGCTCCTCTATATAATCGAACGCTGGCCCCGTCTCGCGACAGTGGTCTCACACTCTCCGCTCGCTTTCTTCTCTTGGGGTTTTCTCTCTCTAACTGTTTATACTCATCTGTCGCCCTCGAGGTGAGTGAAGGAACCGCTTTCTTCTGGCTAGGGTTTGTGATTGATCAAGGATTTTACAGTTTTTTTTTACGATAACGATGCTTTGATCTGTTCTTGCGCCCGATGGATCTGTGTGTTCTTACTGACGCTTCGTCATTTGCTGTTTATACCTATTTTTTGACGAGTTTCTTGCATTTTTATGAAGCATTGAGTTAGATCTGTTGTTTTATTGCTGGATCTGGATAGGGTTTCTGGCTTTCCGTTGATGTTTTGGCTTTTGATGTGTTGCTTGTTTGAGAGTGTGCTATATGCTACACGGTATCCTACTTGAGTATCTTGTTTTTGGATGAAAACCCAAATCCAAATAGCATAGTGCACTGTTTCATGCCGTTTTTTCATATTCTAAAACCACCACGTCACACAACAGGGCGGAGAAGCCACTTGGTTATAGTTTTAAGTTCATGCTCTCTGCCCCAGTGATTGATGCTGGTTGGAGAACATAATTTCAAGGGAACTAGTATTAACAGTCATCTTGCATGTAGTGTTTGATGCATATCTCTATCTGTATAATGGTTTGTTGGGAATATAGAAATGTGAGTGATAGGGTTTGCTTTGCATTAGAAGTTGTGGGAGTTGATGCTTGCTGGGGAGCATCACTTCAATGGAGCTAGTATATACTATGTATAATCATACTGTATGAAAATGTTTGATGCATTTATCCATCTGTATTACTGTTGTGAATAGAGTAATTTGAATGATTAAATATGCTTTCCAGTGATGTTTTTTATAGAGTTGAAATTATTTGTGATTTAAACACATTTGAAAGTGTATGCAGTCACTTATTTGTGATACTTTTCTATTCTTGTAGAATAAATGCCGAGAAAAAGAAGAACTGAACTCCCCGGCGGGGATGAGACACCTGCTTCTCATGAGTCTGGAACAGGACAAGGTGGTGGACCACGCCCTCCCCAACATCAGCAGCATGAAGGAGCTTACCAAGGAGGGAGCTACCAAGGAGGAGGGAGAGGCCGTGGATCTCAGCGTGGAGGGCATGGTGGCCAAGGTGGTGGATTTCCACGTGGTGGAATGTCTCCTCAGCAGCCCTATGGGCAGCCTGAGTATGATGGACAAGGTGGTGTAGCTCCACGCGGTGGAATGACTCAGCAGTCCTATGGACAGCCCATGCATGGTGGCCAAGGTGGACCTCCACGGGGTGGAATGGCGCAGCAGTCATATGCACAGCCTGCGCGTGGTGGTCAAGGAGGTGGACCACCACGAGGTGGAATGGCCCCTCAGCAGGCATATGGACAACCTGTGCCTGGTGGCCAAGGTGGTGCCCATCCACGTGGTGGAATGACTCCTCAGCAGTTGTATGGACGTCCTGAACATCAGCAGGGCAGGGGTGCTCCTCAATATCCGCGTGGGGGGCCACCTCAGCCAAGTGGTGGTGTAGGTGGGCGTGTTCCATCTTCCGGAGGTGTGCCTTCTAGGCCCCCTGTTTCCGAGCTGCACCAAGCAACCCAGCCTCAATACCAAACAGTCTCAACTATGCCTGCATCTACATCATATCATAGGCAAGGAAGTACTGAAGAGGCTAGTAGTTCATCTATGCCACAGGAGCCAGTGCAGTTGGCTCAGGAACTTGAGAAGCTTACAGTGCAACCTGAAGGTGCACCCACCCAACCTGCATCCAGTAAAGCAATGAGATTTCCTCGTCGACCAGGACCGGGACAGAGTGGCATGAGGTGCATCGTGAAGGCCAATCACTTCTTTGCTGAGCTGCCTGATAAAGACTTGCACCAGTATGATGTAAGCATTGTAACTGTTGTGTGTTTGCACAATTTTGTTATATTCACCTTATCACCTATGGTTGTCATATAATCTCTTGTGAATGTCAGGTTTCAATCACCCCTGAAATCACTTCTCGGGGTGTTAATCGTGCTGTAATGGATCAGCTAGTCAAACTGTACAGGGAATCTCATCTAGGAAAGAGGCTTCCGGCATATGATGGAAGAAAGAGCCTCTACACTGCAGGCCCTCTCCCTTTTGTTTCTAAAGAGTTCAAGATCACTCTAGTTGATGAAGAAGAAAGGCCCGGTGTTGCCAGGTAAAAAAATACTTGAACGCAAGTTTTCTATTGTTGACATCTTTTCATAGCGTTTTAAATGCCTTGTCCTATAAATATTTTCTCATGATACAGACGGGAAAAGGAATTTAAAGTTGTGATTAAATTTGCATCGCGTGCTGATCTTCACCATCTGGGAATGTTTCTTCAAGGCAAACAAGCTGATGCGCCACAGGAAGCATTGCAGGTTTTAGATATTGTGTTGCGAGAACTACCCACATCTAGGTATGTATAAAAGTATGAGTGGGGTGTGATTCTTTATAATGTTCACGAGCTTGTTCATTAATTTGTTCAGATTGTGTTTACTCACACCGGGCCTTTGATTTATTATTTCAGGTATTGTCCGGTGGGCCGCTCTTTCTATTCCCCTAATTTAGGGCGAAAGCAGCCTTTGGGTGAAGGACTTGAAAGCTGGCGTGGTTTTTATCAAAGTATCCGCCCTACTCAGATGGGGTTATCACTGAATATAGGTGGGCAAATCATGGATTATGTGTTATTTTGATTCCTAAGTCTCTTTCTAGCCTTATTTGAAGTCTTAACAGCTTCAAATTGTTTTAGTTTTCTTTCTCATTTTATTCTCTGAAATTTTTTAATTGTGATTTCCATATATTGTATTCCTTTTTCAGATATGTCATCCACAGCTTTTATTGAGCCACTGCCTGTCATCGATTTCGTGATTCAGCTTCTGAACAGGGACGTCCTAGCCAGGCCTTTGTCTGATTCTGACAGAGTAAAGGTTAGGTTTATTTACTGCTATGAATTTATTTATTCATTTTGTTTTATTTTTTTTAAATTAATTGTGCTTTTTTATTGGACTGTTTGAATTTAGTTTGCATGAATTTGGATACATGGAATATACATTCCATATATACATCCACGATCAACTTTTATCTTGTCTTTTTTTAATCTAGTTTTGTTATGTTTCACAATGCCTTATATTGCACATTTGTTATTGATGTGCATATATTACATCTTATTAACTTCTGATGTTTATATTTACACTGAATCCACAGATCAAGAAAGCTCTACGAGGTGTAAAGGTGGAGGTTACTCATCGTGGGAATATGCGGAGGAAGTACCGGATCGCTGGTCTGACATCACAAGCTACAAGAGAGTTGACGTATGATTTTTTTTATATAAAATTTGTGTTTGGGTGGTTTTCCAATGGGAATGCTGACTGTGTTGTATTGTTTCATCTGTTTGCCTTGTTCAACTACTAATGGTACCGCCACTGTAGTTTCCCTGTTGATGAGTTGGGTACAACAAAGTCTGTGATTGAATACTTCCGTGAAACATATGGTTATGCCATTCATCACACTCAATGGCCTTGCCTACAAGTTGGGAATCAACAAAGAGCTAATTACCTGCCAATGGAGGTAAGCGACTCTACAATTCTAGTTTGTGTTTCTATTCTGGGTTACAATGGGTTATATAGTTGATATGATCTAAAAAAATCAGGTCTGCAAGATTGTTGAAGGGCAAAGATATTCAAAGCGGTTAAATGAGAGACAAATTACTGCACTTCTCAAAGTAACATGCCAACGGCCACGAGATAGAGAACAAGACATCCTTCAGGTGAGAATTTTGATTACCTCTGGAAGATTTATTTTTCTCATGGAAATAAGTTTTTTTCCTGACTCGTACTTCTTGGTCAAAGTGCTAGATTTTGTGTAGCCACCTTATCTGACCAATGATGCGCTTAATAGTCTAGTACAGTACTAGACACCAGTATTTGTTAATAATTTGTTTTGCACATTTTTTGTGACTGAGAGCTTTTTTGGTAATATGCACGCAAGAAGTTGGCATCTCTTTTATTGCCAGACTGAGACAAGAATTATCAGTTATTTATGTGGAGTATTACTCTTTTTATGACTGAGATATCATTTTGGATAGTCTGCCTGTAAGAAGTTGACATATCTCTCCTTGCCAGACCGTGAGACAGAACAATTATGCTAATGATCCATATGCAAAGGAGTTTGGAATTAAAATCAGTGAAAAGCTTGCTCAGGTTGAAGCTCGGATTTTACCTGCACCTAGGGTGAGTAAAGCCTTGTATTGTTATTTTTTTTGTTTGATTACTTGATTCACTTGAATAGTGGTGTATCACCTGTTTGTGTGATGATTTACAGTTAAAATACTCTGATAGTGGCCGTGAGAAAGATGTCCTTCCTGAAGTTGGACAGTGGAATATGATGAATAAGGTTAGAGATTTAGTTATTTAGCTTTTGTCACATTTTAGATTTGTTTACAGTTTTGACCTCTACTTTGGTGACTTCAATCAACATTCAATTTGACATGTAGTTCCTTGACCGGGATCTATTATTTTTCAAAAAAAATTGGCAGTGTTATATTGCTTACACTGCCTCACCTTAATCTTGCATTTCAATTGCTGGAAAATATGGTTTCTACACCATATATCTTTTACGTATTTTCTGTTGCAGAAAATGGTTAATGGTGGAGTAGTGAACACCTGGTTTTGCCTAAACTTCTCCCGCAATGTGCAAGATAATGTTGCTAAAGGCTTTTGTTCTGAGCTTGCTCAAATGTGCTATGTATCTGGCATGGTAATTTTGTTGATTTCTGCCTTTTTCCTTGAGATGAAGTGATTCGAAGTCCCTCTGCATAATATATCTTCTGTTATTTTGAAGATGTTCAATCCAAATCCAGTTCTCCCCCCAACCTTTGCACGCCCAGATCAGATAGAAAGAGCATTGAAAGCTAGATATCATGAAGCCATGACCAAACTACAAGGGAAAGATCTTGATCTTTTAGTGGTTATTCTTCCTGACAACAATGGCTCTCTCTATGGTATGGATTCCTTCTTTCCTCTTCCTAATTTTGATATTGCTCAGTAAATGTGTTTTTTGCTAGGATTTTTATTTATTGCCTTTTCAGGTGATTTGAAAAGGATTTGTGAGACTGACCTTGGGGTTGTGTCACAATGCTGTTTGACTAAACATGTTTTCAAGATGAGCAAACAATATCTTGCCAATGTTTCGTTGAAGATAAATGTTAAAGTTGGTGGAAGGAACACTGTGCTTGTGGATGCACTATCTAGGAGAATTCCACTGGTCAGTGACCGTCCAACTATTATTTTTGGTGCTGATGTCACCCACCCTCATCCCGGAGAAGATTCAAGCCCATCCATTGCTGCTGTAAGATAATTTATAGAAAGGATTGGTTAATGATTATTTGGGAACGAGGCTTTGTTTTCTAGAGTTTTGTTAGCATTTTTGTTTCACTTTTTTTTTCAGGTTGTTGCTTCTCAGGATTGGCCTGAGATTACAAAGTATGCTGGTTTGGTTTCAGCGCAAGCACATAGGCAAGAGCTCATTGAAGATCTGTTCAAAACATGGCAAGACCCGGTTAAAGGGAATCTGACTGGCGGCATGATTAAGTATGTACTTCTTAGGGTATATTGACGGTTGTAGCACTCACTTTATTGTTACTTTTGCTGCTGATTTTTTCTAATGACTAATTCAGGGAATTGCTCATGTCTTTCCGCCGAGCAACTGGGCATAAGCCCCAGAGAATTATTTTCTACAGGTAGTCTCAAACTTGCAAACATGCGATAACAATACATTAGAAGAAAAACCTTGGACATTTTTCTACTTCATGTTTCAATCTGAAATATTCCCTGGTGTATGTAGGGATGGAGTGAGTGAAGGACAATTCTATCAAGTACTTCTCTTTGAACTTGATGCAATTCGCAAGGTGATCATCTCTATACTTTACTGTCTTTCTCTTAATTTATTTTTCCCAGGTGAATATGCCAGGGAGTTGTGGTTTTTTTTTGAGGTGGTGCTATTCTCGTGTTGCTTGTTAGTAAAATAATAGTTTGGCCTAATTTCAGGCATGCGCATCACTTGAACCCAATTATCAGCCTCCAGTGACCTTTGTTGTGGTTCAGAAACGACATCATACCAGGTTGTTTGCCAACAACCACAATGACAGGAATTTAGTTGACAGGAGTGGTAACATCCTGCCTGGTAAGTAACCTGCACACATCTCCTTTTTTGGATCTACCCATAGGTTGCATTGTTTAGTTGTTTTTCTCATCCTTTCCACAGGTACTGTGGTGGATTCCAAGATTTGCCACCCTACCGAGTTTGACTTCTACCTCTGTAGCCATGCTGGTATACAGGTAATAACATTGACGGCGGTTAACTTCTCTGAAGATTCATGCAAGGAAGCACAAAATAACTCTAATATCTGTACTGTTTTTTTCCCTTTCCATGCAGGGAACTAGTCGGCCAGCACATTATCACGTTTTATGGGATGAAAACAATTTTACTGCTGATGGTCTTCAGTCATTAACTAATAATCTCTGCTACACGTATGTGAATTTGAAGCTTTGATTTTTTACATTTGTCACTAATCTCTAGAACTCTGAATGATGTAATAATATTACACGTTTTTCCACTTTCAGATATGCAAGGTGCACGCGCTCAGTATCAATTGGTATGTTTCACTTATTGCCTTGTTGAACAGAGTAATGTTTGTAATACTTCAAATATGGTGTTTCGAACAATTTTTTTATAACTTTGACAACATGAATTAGCCTGTAGTAGTAAATATTGTGTTTGCATTTAATTACCTTGTTTCGAGAAAAGAGTTAGGTTCCTAATACTAAAATTAGTATTACAAACCTTACTCTTTTTCTAGGGACTAGGGACTAATAATATTATTTGACCAGTATTGGTTGGGACCGGATTCCTTTTTTTGTATGAGTAGAACATGGACTAACAATTTTGAGCATTACTGTGTAGTTCCTCCTGCATACTATGCCCATTTGGCAGCATTCAGAGCCAGATTCTACATGGACCCAGAAACATCAGACAGCGGGTCAATGACAGGCGGAGCTGCTGCTGGCCGTGGTGGTGCCGCCGCAGGGAGAAATACTCGAGCGCCAGGTGCTAGTAGTGCCTCCGTCAGGCCCCTTCCTGATCTCAAGGACAACGTTAAGAGAGTCATGTTTTATTGTTAGTCTATCCCCTCCCATTCGGTGAATGACTGTTTTTATGTTTATTTTGGTGTGGAGGTTGTGCTTATCTATCAGACGCTTTCATTCATGACAGTCCGACTTTGGGGTTTGTTAGTATCATCCTCGGAAAGAGACCTAACTCTATTGTTATGTAAGATTTGCGTGCTTTGTGTGATATGATATTTGTGTGGTTTTCTTGATTTGTGCCGTTTATGGGTTGCTTTGGCCTCAAATTTATTGCTCCCTCTGTTCAAGATTAATAGTTTTAGTTTGGTTTATAAAGTTAGATCTTTTTAAAATAAAAATTTCATTGACTTTCTTTCTCTATTTTTGTAGCAATTTGATAAAATAAAGTACTATTGGCATTATTAGTTTTGTAGATTTTTTGATGTAGTATTTTAATATGTGATTTTTAGTCATATAAAATGATTTGAAAAAGTTTTAGTCAAACATCTAAACCGAAACAGGCGTTATAAAATGGGATGGAGGGAGTAGTTAATTTTTTTAGTAAAATAAATAATACTCCCTCCCTCCATAATTTATCTTTCCATTTTCTTTACTTGTTTGTCCATAAATTATCTTCCACTTTCTTTTTTGCCAAATGTTTTTTCTCTATAACACTTTTCTAACCTTGTCTCTACTAATTAATTATTGTCCATCCCCTTGGTTCCATGACATATGACATTTGGAATCAATGTCCCCGTTCCTAAAATTGACGGTTCTTATCCTCCTAACATCCACGGTAAAACCCTCACTCCGCCTCGATCCGAACACAGGGGTGGATGGTGTGTTTGGATCGGGGCGGGTAGGGGGTTGGGGGGTAGGAACCGTCAATTTTACGAACGGAACACTGGAGCATCCCTGGGTCATGGCAACTGGCCCCATTATCCATACTTACATTATATTTCAGTTTTTACAATAATCCAAGGACAAATATGAAGAGTCTACACATCTTTACTTTTCTTTAATTTGCGTGTAAAGTCAAAGCAGAAAGATAATTTTTGGATGGAGAGAGTATGTGATTTGTATTTATCTCTTTCTTTTAAACAAATTTTAATCACTTTATATTTTAATTTTTTTCAAAATAAATGAAGTCTAATTGTAGAAATTAAACCGGGATGACGCAAGTATTTATTATGTTTCTTTTGGGCAGCTTCCTTGAATTTGTGGATTGTTTTAAAAGTTCTTTCTCAAATTTGCTGTTATGGGTGGTGTCAAACTAGTATTTTTTTTATTACTCCCTCCATCATGGATTAACTTCATTTTTTAATTGTTCCAAATATATATACACATTTTTTATTTCTCTAATATAGTGAAAATTTGTGCTCTACATTTATTCTCTTTTTTCTAAATAAATTTTAGCCTTTGCTTTTTGACTTTTTACTATTTTTCTTATTTGTATATGAAGTCAAATTGCGTAAACTAAATTGAGACGGAAGGAGTACTTATTATGTTTCCTTGTGACAGCTTTCTTGTTATTGTGGATTCTTTAAAGCGTTCTTCAAAAGTTTGCGGCGGACATTCTAACATGTCCTTAAAAATGTACAAGAACGCTCAAAGCTAAAATCACTTGCCAAAAGTTATACAATTGTTTATTAGTAGACCACCAAATCTCCAAAACCATTTTTATTTCATTGAACTACTGTTAACAAAAACCTGACAAAATGCAGTCAATCCAGAAGCAAAGAATAAATCCTTCTCCATTCATGAATTCAACTATATCAAACCACATTCTACAGTCTGGCTTTGTCTTCAGCCTCTGAAATTCTTTTCTTGTCCCCATTCAGCTTTCCCACACTTAACACCAAGGAATGTTCTTTGTCTTCCTGATTATGATCAAATTCCCCATTCTCCTATCATATAAAAACCATCCTTCTTCTCTTGCTCAAATGCACAAGCTTTACAGAAACAAAACAAGCGTTTCACATTTCCGTCTTGTGCTACCGGTCACATTTATTGTCGTCGCAGTTCTAAAATGGCTTCAAATGTTGTCGATGACATGTTTGATGGCATCAGGAAGAGCAAAGCCCATGCCACTGTATTTTTTACCAGGTGAAATACTTTTTCTTTATTGATCTTTTTTTAAAACTGTTATACATTCTGTACATATAAAGACATTTTTTTTTTCAAATATTAAAACGGATCGAACTTGAAGGCTCGTCGATAGGAAGAGTCTCAGTGCGGGGAAAAGGCTCATGAAACAGAAGGATTTATCAGGAGAGATAGATCAAACGGTGCCAAACAAAGCCGAAAGAGCCAATTTTTTGGAGGGGAAACTGGGAAAGATTCTGAGTTCCACTCAAGTGAGCTAATTATGATTTGCATTCATAATGGTACTGAAATATTTATATATTAAAAAAAAGAACAAAATGCAACATTACGGATGTGTACCGATTTCAGGAGGCTGTAGTTGTGCGGCCTAATGTTGCTTTTGCATATCGAAGCAACCCGGGAAGTTGGGTCTACTTCAAAGTTAATGCCCAAACCTTTTCTGTTGAGGGAATCACCGCGAAAGAATATCTAACTTTCAAAGAAATGGTGTTTGATGAAAACTGGTAGGTCTTTTCTTTTTTTTTTTTTTTGGCATTTGCTAGCTCTCACCTTGTCTGCCTAAAACTGTGAGATTCCATTCCAAAACCAATTGAGACCATATTTAATGCATGGACAGGGCCAAGGATGAAAATGCTCTAGAAGTTGATTTCAGGGCATTCGACTACCCTGATCACCCGTTAGCACTTTCTGGTTCCATTGGAAAGGGACTCGAGTTCATCTCGAAAATAATGGGTTCCAAATTTGGTGCAACTCTCGAGGGTGCAAAGCCTTTGCATGACTACCTTCTGGCGCTCAACCATCGCGGAGAGGTTCGAATTCTGGAATTGTGGGATTTGATATCTTTTGTCTTGTCTGTTTTGATTTTTCGTGGCACTAAGGAAAAGATGGTTTTGTTTTATATGTTTGTTTCAGAAGCTTATGATCAATGACACTCTTAACACAGTCGCGTCGCTTCAAAACGCATTGATTGTGGCCCAACGTTATGTAACTGCTCATCCAAAACACGCGCCTTACCGGAATTTTGCGCAAAAGTATTGTTTTTTATTTTCTAATTAGTGCATTTATTCTTGTTTATAAATGAGTAGATTTATTATGTGTTTTAGGCAATTTTTTTTTTACCATTTCTGGAGTAAAGTAGTGTGTCATTTCGACTCTCATTCGTGTTCAATATGACAGGCTGAGAGATTTGGGATTTGAGAAAGGATGGGGCGAGAATGCAGAGAGAGTCCGGGAGACGATGAGACTACTTTCTGAAGTTCTCCAAGCACCGGACCCCACAAGCACCGAATCATTCTTCAGCAGGCTGCCTGCCGTGTTCAACATTGTGATCTTGTCCATTCATGGCTACTTTGGCCAAGCCGACGTTCTTGGTTTGCCTGATACTGGAGGCCAGGTCTTTTGCTACAAAAACTTGTTGACCTGAGCTTAGATTCTAAAAGATTGAAAAGGCTTTAAAAAGGGTCTTTTTTTTGTTGTTCTGTACAGGTGGTTTACATTCTTGATCAAGTAAGGGCTTTAGAGAAGGAAATGGTGCTAAGAATTAAGCAACAAGGATTGAACATTAAGCCTCAGATTCTTGTGGTGACACGGCTTATACCAGATGCGCAAGGGACAGATTGCAATAAAGAGATGGAACCTATATCTGACACAGAGTGTTCTCGCATTCTTCGTGTCCCTTTTAAAACAGAAAGAGGGGTTTTGCAACATTGGGTTTCCAGATTTGATATTTATCCTTACTTGGAGAGGTTTTGTGAGGTTGTAAACGCTTTCGCTACCTCTAGATTTGATGTTATTTGAATGAACTTCTGTTTCTTGAAAGCTCTTTTGGGATGGGTTTTTGGCCCTCAAAACTAATAAGTGTTTTCTTTTTGCATCAGGATGCCACTGCCAAGATTCTTGAGAGCATGGGAGGTAAACCAGACCTCATTATTGGAAACTACACTGATGGAAACTTGGTCGCGTCCCTCATGTCCCGCAAACTTGGAGTAACACAGGTTTAGCCAATTCATTTTTTTTAAAAGAAGTCCTTCACGAATCTTAGTTGCGCTTATTGGTTGATGAAATGGTAGAATCTGCTTAAAGGAGCTTATATGTTTATTCTGATTATATGTTATTGATTAGGCAACAATTGCTCATGCCTTGGAGAAAACCAAATATGAAGACTCTGATGCCAAGTGGAAAACCTTTGATCAAAAGTACCACTTTTCGTCCCAATTCACAGCAGACTTGATCGCGATGAACTCGGCCGATTTCATCATAGCCAGCACGTATCAAGAAATCGCGGGAAGGTTAGTGATTAATCTTTATTTTCCCTATTTGGGACAGCCATAATTAGCTGTCCAGTTACTATATTCAGACAATTAAGGGCTGTTTGTTTTTTTTTTTCTTGGTCATCATTGCAGCAAAACCAAACCTGGACAATATGAGAGCCATGAGGCCTTTACCATGCCAGGGCTATGCAGAGTTGTTTCTGGCATAAACGTGTTTGACCCCAAGTTTAACATTGTGGCGCCCGGGGCTGACCAGTCCGTCTACTTCTCCTACGCGGAGAAGGATAAGTGTTTCGCCTCATTTCGCCCCGCCATTGGGGCGTTGCTTTTCAACAATGAGGACACCAATGAGCACATGTGAGTTGTCTTATTAATCTAATAAAAAAATGACAACTTGTTACTTTGTTAGGAGTACAGAATCTTTTCTGCACTTACAACAACGAGTTTGAGCTTTTGGTTGAGTTGGTTTGTTTGTTTCATAAAGTGGTTTCCTGGCGGACAAGACCAAACCAATAATCTTCTCAATGGCAAGGCTAGACACTGTGAAGAATCTCACGGGACTGACCGAATGGTACGGGAAGAACACGGCACTAAGAAGCTTAGCGAACCTTGTGATCGTCGGGGCGTTCTTCGACCCATCAAACTCAAAAGACCGAGAAGAAGCCGGTGAAATCAAGAAGATGCACGGTTTGATAGACAAGTACAAGCTGGAGGGACAGATGAGATGGATAGCAGCCCAAACGGACAGGAAGCGAAACGGGGAGCTGTACCGGATGATTGCAGAGACAAAGGGGGCTTTCGTGCAGCCCGCTTTGTATGAGGCCTTCGGGCTCACGGTGATTGAGGCAATGAACTGTGGGCTCCCCACATTCGCCACGAACCAAGGTGGGCCCGCGGAGATCATTGTCGATGGAGTCTCCGGCTTTCACATCGACCCATACAACGGGGACGAGTCCAGCAAGAAGATCCTCGACTTCTTCGAGAAATGCAAGTCCGATGTGGGATATTGGGACAAGATTTCAAACGCGGCTTTGCATCGCATAAACGAATGGTAACCATCCAAACCCACAAAACCTTTCTTGGACACGCGACTATAGTCTTGCGCTTTTGGTTGAGTTGGTTTCTAGGTATGGTGTTGTTCTGTTGCAAAACGAGTGTTTTTTTAAACCACATTTCTCTATGTAGTTTTACTTGGAAGATTTACGCGGAGAAAGTGTTGAACATGGGATCGGCGTACGGATGCTGGAGGGCGATGCACTCCAAGCAAAAACACGCTAAGCTACGTTACATTGAGCTATTCTACAATCTGCACATGAGGAACTTGGTATGTAAAAACCTCAACTACAACTATGCTATTAACCAGATCTTCAAATGTCACGTATGATATCGTCCATTTTGGACCAAACATGAATTCAGACTGACACTAATAACTCTGTTACAATTGTTCGTACTTTTTTGGGTTATTGCTCCACTGGGATTCGACCCTGTGACCTCACATTTGGGAGATCCACAGTGATGCCGCGGGACTGCAAGGTCTTTGGGAAAGTTAATTAAAATTTTTCTGAACAAACAAATATACTTTTTTGTGACAGGCCAAGAAAGTGGCGGCGGAAGTCACGCAACCAGCGGCGCAGGCCGAGAAAACTCCGGCGAGGGAACATACTGCAGAAGTTGTGCCGAAAGACGGCGGGGCTGCCGGAGCTAAGGGAGAAGAAGTGGGCACCTTCACAACAACACCACCATCTGCTGCCTGCAACTGGCTGTGCCTATGCATCTCTGCTTCTATCATTGTCTATACCTTGCTTAAAATGTATGGCTCCAAGACCCAACCAAAATGAATAATTAATGTACTGCCATTCCATTTATTTATTCTAATTCATGATGTAATTTGTACATGCTTTCCATAATAATAATACGGAGTAATTATTAACAACCATTATTTATTTGCTCTTCCGTATTCATTATTTGCACATTAATACACGTACTAGGAAGAGTTTATGAGAATGGAACCAAATTAAAACAAAAAATAAACGGAGTACTTTTATTTGTTTATTTGTGTATTTCCATTGACTATTTGATGATATAAAATATTTTTATCGTTTCTTGTTTTGTAGGATTTTTTACGTATTTTTTAAGTATGTAAATTTTAATATTGATTTATGTACGGATCTTTAAATAAAATGGATTGAAAAAATTTGAGACATAGGGAAGAGATAAAGGGAGTACATATTTAAGCACGCTAAACAAGAAAACCTTAAAAGTCATAAATACAAAGTCATATTAATTGAGAAGTGCTCAACAATTATTTGCTTAGGTAATAATGTTTGATTAATATTCATTTTGGTCCCTTGAATATACTTATGAGTCAATTAGATCTTTATATATTGCGTTGAGTCAAATTAATCTTAGTAGTTAAAAAGTCAATCGAATAAGCCCGTCTAAACAATTTATTGTAATCGTGTTAGTGAGACATTAACACATTTATTTGGCAACTTCTGAATAGGTAAGTGCTGAACCAATAAGAGGTCTGAACCATTAAGTGCTGAACCAGTAAGAGGTCTGAACCATTAAGAGCTAGTATATTGCTTAACTATTCAGAGGCAAATGTCTGATCTATTCAGATAAGAGATCTTAACCATTCAGACTCTGTATAATACTTAACCATTCAGAGGCAAATGTCTGAGCCATTTAGATATCTGAACCATTAAGAGGCTGAAACAAACAGTCTGAACCATTAAGTGCTGAACCATTCAGACATCTGAACCATTAAGAGGCTGAAACAAACAGCCCATTAATGTTTCAATCATATCGCTAAGATTAATATCGTTTGAAGTCCTAGCTTGCTTGATTTATATTTTTGAGCGACATAGACTAAATTAATTTGATTCAAGTCAACACTATACTTAGAGCTTGATATCTCCAACTTATATTTTTTTTATTTATTGTTTATTTTTATTGAAATCAGATTAAATCAGATCAGAACTTAATCGAATCAGATCAGAATCAATTAGATTGGTTGAAGACAACAAAAGCCTTAAAATAGACCAAAATGAGTATTCTTTCAATGCCGGGGCAACAATTACGAGGCTCCTCAACTAGTTAATCATACAAATTAACTGGTGTAGGCAATATAAGTGGGGATGGAAAAGGTATCAAAACCATTGAAGTTAGTTCCAGCGGATTTGGAATAAGCGCCCATATTGGTGAACACCAGCAAGTCATGCAATTGTAGCTCCGGCAACATTATCTCCCCCGACGCCGCCGTCACCTCGTCGAGAGAATCACAAGACGGCCCGTAAACGGCGGAGGACCGTATCGCCGGTGGCTCATTCACGGGCGGCTTGCAGAACGCCGCCTTGACACTCACCAGCGATGAGTTGTACATCGTTGGGCTGAAGGATCCGTAGATTCCGTCGTTGATCCAGTACTCCATCCTCTCGCCGCGTGCTCGGATTCCGATCACGCTTGTCGCCAGCGTGAATGCCTTCTCTGCAAAGTACCTATCAATGTTCCAAACTAGAAGTGTAATGTCATCCTGAAGAGTGATTATAGTGTGGTGAAGATAAAAATAATCGACTTATAATAAGCGGCGGTTGAGTAATGGATTAGATTCAATCTTTTAATGTAGTTCAATCCAAATGTCTTATGTTCTGATCCATTCATAATTTTTATCACGGTATCGGAACCAGTTTAAGTCCATCTTGTCCGTTAAGGTGTCTGTCTAGACGTTCATTCCTAATGACCCTAGCCTAGACGTTCGGATGAAAAGTGATCGATTTATAAGCTCTGAGTTAAATTAATTAAGTGATCGATTGAACTCAATCTTTTAATATGATTCAACTCAAGTGTTTTATGACCAATCCAGTGATTCTACCGCATCCAAAATTCTACTCCCTCCGTCCCAAAAAGATTTACACGTTTCAAAAAAATTACGTCCCACAATCCCTTACCCATTTCTATTAAAAAACCACTTTTACCTCTTACTTTTTCAAACCCTACCTATCACATCATACCTTTTTCTTAATAATCTACACATCACATCCTACTTTTACTCATCACATCAAGGGTATTTTTGGAAAGTCAACACAAAATTATCCCTCCCTTAATTTCAACTTTAGTCAAAATGGGTAACACTTTATGGGACGGAGGGAGTATCACATAGACATGTATTTAAAAATATATTATTTAAAATTACATATTCTAAACTATGATATTTCAAAATGAATGTCTTGATCGATATCCAAGTTTTAAAACTTGGTAAATAAAATCATCATTTTATTTTGTAATCAAAGTTTAAAAAGTTTGGTGATGAAAATTTATACGAGATGAAAGCTAAGATATACTCCCTCCGTCCCAAAAAGATTTACACCTTTCAAAAAAAAATGTGTCCCACAATCTCCTACCCATTTCTACTAAAAAACCACTTTTACCCTTTACTTTTTCAAATCCTGCCTATCACATCATACCTTTTTCTTATAATCTACACATCACATCCTACTTTTACACATTAAATCAAGGTTATTTTTGGAAAGTCAACACGAAATTATTTCTCCCTTAATTTCCACTTTAGTCAAAATGTGTAAAACTTTTTGGGACGGAGGAAGTATAAGACAAACTGACAAAGTATAAATGTTAAATAATACTCTCTCACCGTCCCAAAATAAAAGTGTACACTAACTTAAAGTTGATTGAGTTTTAGAGAAGCATTGTTAAAACAATTAATTTGGTTACTAACTTACTACTAGGATAAACAAAGTTATCTAGCCTATCAAGAAAGAATAAGTATTCTAGCCTATCAAGAAAGAAGGAAGTAATAACCAAAGTTATATAAAAAATGTTTATCCTAGTAGTAAGTTACTAACTTACTACTAGGATAAACATTTTTTATATTTATATTTTAAAACAATTAATTAAAGTTTGTATGGACCATATGGACAATCACAGGTCCCTGATAAAACTTCTTTATAAAATGAATACATCAAAGTGTCAAACAAGAGAGTAATAACTAGGGGAATTTACGTAAATAACACTAAAACATAATTATTTTCCCTAAATAGCATCACATGTGTTTTTTCCCAATCTAGCACTTTTAGTCATTATCTATTAGTCATTATTTAAGTAAATATTGGTCATCACTGGACATTATGGACATTATGAAGTGCTATTTAGGGAATAAAACAATTTAAGTGCTATTTAGAAAAATAACTTAAGTTTTATACTCAATCAATCTTTTTCCCTTTTGAAATATATTTTTATATAAAATAATATAGCAATAATGTTATTATCTTTTTTTAAAAAAAAATTTTTATTTTGAAAATGTAACTTTTTTTTTAAATTTTATAGTGTGATAGTGTGGAGAGTGTCGTAATCCTATTTTGATCTTAAAAAATTTAAAACTCATACTCCTTCCGTCCTTAAAAACATGGAAGATTTTAATTTTTAAAGGATTTAAGGATAATGTATTTTGGTGTTGAGTTTCCAAAAAAATTCTTAGATATGAGAGGTAAAAGTATTATTTGATTGATAGTTTAATAGTGAATAGATATGATGTGATTGGTAGGTTAAGAACTAGCTAGTAAGGGTAAAAGTATCTTTTTAATAGAAACAAAAAAAAAGTTTTTTGGGACAATGAAAAAAGAAAAAAGAAACGTTTTCAGAGGCGGAGACAGTATTTAACACCTTCAAATAATTTTACTCGCATTCATAAAATTCTTCCAACCCTAAGTAGAAGCAAAAAATAATGAAATTAAAATAATACGAGTACTAAAATAGACGTATTTAACTTAACACTATTTTTGTGATCTAGAGTTTATACTACTTCCGTCCCAGTATATTTGTCCAGTTTGACTTTTTCGAGTCAAACTGGATAAACTTTGAACTCCAATTATTCTCAATTTATATTGAATATTAGCATAATGAAATACAATTTTGAAAGTTTTCAATACGATAAATCCAATAAAGTCATTTTAATGTTAAAATGCATTACGATTTTTATTTAATTAAAACTCAAAATTTATCCAAAACTGGGACGAGGGAGTAATGCCACATCCTAGTAATTACCGGCGTTGACCACTGTTGATCGATTGTCCAATAGTCCACTACCAGTCCACCATTACCACATTCCACCATTATATAGCTACTAATCGCATTGTTATATTGTCACCAACCATTCACATTGGAAGGTTTTAAAATAAAAATAATGAAACTCCTAATATTTTGATGGGAGTTTTAGAAATCAATCGAAACGAGTCAAATAAACTTGGCCTCGTGAAATAAGAACAGGGGACTTAAGTAAAATACGGAGTATGCATATATAGTGTACCTTCCAGGCTCGGCAATGATCGTTACCGCCATTTCTTTAGGGAAATAATCCGTGATTGCTGATTTTACCGTGTCGCAGATTTCTTCAAATACCTGTGTCGCCGCTCTAAAACCACCACCTATGTTTAGCACTTGCATTGGCGCCATTCCGAGCTCAGCCGCCACGTCGAACACCGCCCTCGCTGCCGCAATTGCATGGCGGTAGATGACGGGTTCCTCCGCTATGGACCCCACGTGGAACGAGACTCCGACCACCTGAAGCCCAGAAAAGGCGGCGTACTGCAGCAAAGGCTCCACTTCGTCCGGGAGGGCCCCGAATTTCTTCGCTAAGGGACGGAGGGAGCCTTTGTAGTCATTGGGTGGCTTGATCCTCAACAAGAGTTTGCATTTTGGGTGCCACTTCTTCACCTTCTCAAGCTCCACCATGGAGTCAAAGGTGGTGAGGTTGACCCCGGCAGCCGCCGCATACTGAATATGTGCGGCGGCCTTGCAGGGATTGGCGTACAAGATGCGCTCCGGGCGGACACCGAGGTGTAAAACCGCCTCGATCTCCCCCCGGCTGGCGCAGTCGAAATTGGCACCCAACTTGGCCAGGGCTGCAAGAAAAGTAGGTTCATTATTGCACTTCACAGCATAAAAGGGCTTGACTTGGGGTAGACAAAGCTCCCATTTATTCATAGCCCTTTCAACAGCTCCCAAGTCTAATACATAGAATGGGTATTGCCCATTATCATGAGTTGTCGCCGCCGCCGCTATAGATTTGATGAGGTTCATCATCCCATCTTTTTGGATCTTGTAAACATGTTGGTCGCCGTCGTTTTGGGTTGCATCCACCATTCTTAATTAGTTAGTTGTGTTAAAATCAATATGCTCGTGAAGTGTGTCTATATATACCCGGGAGTGTGTGTGTGTATATATATATGTATGTATATATATATATATATATATATATGTATGTATATGTATATATATATGTATATATATATGTGTGTGTGTGTGTGTGTGTGTGTATATATATATATATATATATATATAGTTCTTGTGAGAATGCACCTTGTGGAGAGAAATGAGAATAAAATCTACTCGTTGGATCTGATGCATCGTGCGGCTCAGATTGCATCTTGCGCTCAGATTTTTAGATATTGCATTTTCAAAGAATTTTGGTGCATTTCGACGTGATGCATTTTTAAACCATTTTGGTGCATCTGATTTTGATGCAATCTTGGCCCTTAGATCTCACAATCTAAAGCACCAGATTCATTCTCATTTCTCTCCTAAGATCGCATTTTCACCAGAACACATATATATATATATATATATATATATATATATATATATATATATATATATATATATATAGGGGTTGGTTCAGGTGAGAATGATCCTTGGTGAAAGAAATGAGAATGATCAGAAGACGTTGGATCGAATGTAATTAGGGGCTAAGATGCATTTTCAAAGTTTTGCCATGATTAGGAAATTAATAACTAGAGTAAATCTAAAATTGGAGATATTATCTCGTGGGGGTAAATCTGGAACAAAAAATGCCTTAATACACGTAAAATCTCTAGGGATGAATATTATCTTACCATTTACGCCATTTGCTTAAAATAAAACTCTTGAATGCACATTAATTACTTCCACTTTTTTAGCCTTTATGGTTGTCATATTAATTAAGGGGTTTTTCTTTTTCTTTGTTAAACGTGCGCTTCATGATTCATGGGTAGCCATTTTAATTGTTTCTTATTTTTTTAATTTATGAACCACTTTTTTCTATAAAAATCAATAATAAATATTTTTACAATTAAACTCATTAAAATAATTTATTTCTTTTTTTACTTTATTTTAATGCATTTTTAAGGATGCAAAGGATATACGGAGTATTTTATTTGCAATTTGAAAGAAAAAATGTATGATTTATAAATGTAGAAATCATCCTAAATAGGACTAAAACATATAAAAAAGTACCAAAATAGGGCTTTCATGTTTTTTTCCCAGAATAGGACTTTGCACTATAGTAATGTGACTTTGCATTGTGGTAATGTGGCAGTGTACATGTGCAAATTACTATACTTTTTTGGTAATGTATATGACCATGTTTGGTAATGTAAGTCCTATTTTGGGAATAAAAACATAGAAGTCTTATTTTGGTATATTTTCAATGTTTTAATCATACTTTGGTCTTTCTACCTTATAAATGTTCTATTTCTTCTAAAAACTACTCCGTATTCAATTACCCTTTTTTACTTCTCATCACTTATTTAATACTTCGTATTTTTTAACAAATACATTTTTTCCACTTTGATGATTGATATGTCCGCTTTGATTTATCCTTTGAATTTTATTAAAAATTTATTATATTAATTTGTGGATCAGTGAATAATTATTCATGAGTGACTTTGTATGTGATGGGAAAACTTGAGAATGCATTGCATTCAGAACAAGTTTAATACAGATTTGAAAATAGTTTGCCTATGTGGGATTCGAACCCACATCCGTAATACATATCGCTCTACCGTTTGAGCTAATAGGCAATAATTGTTTTCAAAGAGATTATCATCTTGCACATGGATATATTAACTATGCATTTTAATCTTTTTAAATTTACATTATTTAACAAGTTTCTAACTCATATTCAAGTGTAAGATAGAACATCTTAAAGCATCATCATGTACAGAAAATTCAATATCTAGACTATACAGCTGCATCATATTTATGTAAGGATAATTTCACCATTAGATGCATCAACTTTGATTAAGGGAAAACACAGTAAGATGTACAATAACATAATGCATTATCCTTAATCTTAATTATGAGAATGCATTACCTTTTCATGTAAATGCATTGCCGCGACTGTGACAATGCACCATTTCACACACAAACAAACCCAAAAGTAAGATTTATAAAAATCACTATCAAGACGAGTTGTATTTACATAGGGTATCAAGAATGCAAAATTAACACAAACTACTACATAAATGCTTCACAAAAGGGTAAGAGTGCAATGTTTATGATACATAACGATATGTATAAAAGAAAGATGTTTGAATTTGAAAAACACACCATAGATATCACTCATCATATCACATCCAGACAAAAAACAAATTGCATATCTAGAATCTCTCCAAAAGCACAAGTCATTCACATTAACATTTAGAAAGAGTGGATCCAATAAAAAAATAACAACACAGTATATTAAAAATGCTCTTTATTTTTCATTTTCAATGCAATAGAATGCATTTTGTATACTTTGACATGCATATCAAGAACATATGTTATGCATTTAAACTTGAAATTAAAAAGACTTTCATTCAACTACTATTCGTAGTTTCAAATTACACTTGGTCTTCTTTGGGGCATTTTCACAAACAGTTTATGTGCAAAAGTAATTAAAAAGAAAGGGGAAACAATATACAACTCATGTAAACAAACTACAACACGAAACAATTGAAAAAACAGGAAATATCATAAACTAGTGAAATTAGCAAAACACAACAAATATTCACTTATTATACCCATCAGTTTTCTCATTTTTGCAACACGGTGAAATGATAATGCATTCCATTGATCTAGTAATGCATTACTTGTATTTGAAAATGTAGTAAACGTAAATATAAGAAAACATAAGGGTGGAACAAAAAAATTAATTCAACAATTGTAACATATGCATAAGGATATTGCATAGAACGTAAATTTTAGAATACAAAAAGGTGAAATTTGATAGTGTAATTCAATTTGGAATTTTAATTCCAGAACTATGAATGTCAAATAGCATAATATTATCAAAAATTTAGAAATAAATAAATAGAAATGCTAATGAGAAGAAAAATTTACCTAGAGGGAGAGACGATCTGCCAAATAAAACAACCCCCGATCTTCTAAAACCTCTCGCTACAAGATTAGGTCGATTAGAACCTCTCTCGTTCTCAATCGGGAACAAGATCTGTGAAGAAGAAATATCAAAGCAACGATCCACAGTCTTTACTTTTTGAGCAGATAATATCCTTACTACAAAAGGAAACATGAGCATAAAGAGGCAGACTGTGCCTTAATTCTACGGATCGTTCAATACAAAATAGGAGAGAGAAAAGGTTTACAATGTCAAATCTCTAAAATGCCCATTTCTATTAGCGTATCTCAATTCCAGATCTGATTAGATCTAAGGGCCTACAAACATTCTTTTTTCTTTCATTAGATGTCATTCTCACCTGATCTCATTTCTATATATATATATATATATATATATATAAGTTTTGGTTCTGGTGAGAATGAGATCTTACGAAAAAAATAAGAATGAATATGTTGCGTTCGATCTGATGCTTCCACGGTAAATAGCTCAGGGTCTATTTAGTATTTTCGCCTGCCCTCTTTCTCTCTCTTCTCTAATGCGTTGAATCTTTCCGCAGCATATTGATTTGATCTTGATTTCTCCCCAAACAAAATCAATTTATATCTTTCAGCGCATAATCGGCGAAATCAACACACACAAGTGTTCTTGCCCAGTTGTTTCTTCTTCCCAGATCCCAAGAACGAGAGGGATTTTATCAGTCTAAACAAGTAATGAGGGGAGTCTCCCCCAAGCAACAACAATTACGAAGGGATTAAGAAGAGCAGCAACGAGTTCCCAAAGATTAGGATCTCATTTTTTAGGAGAAATTATTAAGTTCTTGGATCTAGTCTTCTTGATTCATTTGGCCGTTGTCTCCCCTACAGGTAAGTTTTTTATTTAATTTTTTAATGTATTTATGTTATTTCTACATGATTTCGTTGCAATTTAAGATGAATTAATAAATAACCCTTTTGATAATATTACTCAATTTTACATTCATAATTCTGAAATGAAAAATCTAAATTGAATAATATTATAAATTAAATTTCATGATTATGTTTAATTAGAATTAAACTTTCAATTTTGAGTTTGAGAATTGATGCAACACAAAATGTTTATAGTTCATCTTTGGAATTGATTTGATGCTGCTAGCCCTCAAGTAGATGTTCGTAATGCATCATAAGGATTAAATATTGCTAATTCTTGAGTGTTGCCCTCAAAAAGTTTTGCATTTAGAAAATTCATATCTAATGTGTGTAGTGCATTTTTAGCAGTGACATATTGCATCAAGGTAATGCATTATACTCCCTCCGTTCTCAAAAACAATTCTCTTTCAATTTTTTCACTTCCAACAAAACACTTCCACTTTCTATTAAAAAACCACTTTTACCCTTACCTTTTCATACCATACCTATCACATCATACTTTTTCTCTAATAATCTACTCATCACATCTTACTTTTACCCATCACATCAAGGGCAAAATTGGAAGTCAACTACAATTTAACACTTCCTTATTTTTCCAATTTTTCTAAGTAGGAACTCTTTTTGAAAACGGAGGGAGTATTAAGCACAAAGTGCACATTCATTTTGTGTGTTAGCAGTGCATAGATATTGTCCTTAATGGATCTTGGTTTAGGCCACATATTTACATAGTTGCTTTAAAGGATCTCTCTAGCGCATAGTCTCATGCTCTATATGCATAGTGTGGTTAACTTTTTATCTCATGAGGTACAACTTCTAAATGTTGATGCAAATAGTAGTTATAAATGCAATGATATTCAGTAAATGCTTTTGTTTTTTTTGTGTCTATGATGCATTATAAATGTGGTAGAGGTGTTTGTGAATCAATAAAGAGTTGGTGATTGAAGCTCAGGAGTTAATATCAACAAAAAGTCAAAACTAGAACTTACACAAGTTCATACAAGTGGATGATTAAGTAACATTTTGTTGAAAGAATCGTCCTAAACAAGATGTTGCACATATTGACCTTGAAGCGAGAGACGAATATGAGGACTAAGCTATCAGGCTATGA